TTATATCCAGAAACAGAAAGTGTAATGAGCTGAAAATACATCAAAGTGCTTATTTGCAAAAACTGGTTTCTAAATTTGGTATGGTTGAGTCTAAGAGTGCAAATCTGCCTTTAGCTGGTCATTTTATGTTGAGTAAGTCTCAATGTCCTAAATCTGATTCTGATTTGTTAAAAATGGAAAATGTTCCCTATGCTAATGTAATAGGATCAGTCATGTATGTTATGATAAGCACAAGACTTGACCTTGCTTTTGCCATCTCATTACTCAGTAGGTTCATGTCTAACCCAAGGTTAGAACATTGGTCTGCCCTAAAATGGTTGCTGAAATATATAAATTGCACAACTCATGTTGGTTTAGAATATTCCAAAAGATGTGAGTCACTTGATCTTGTGGGTTTTGTAGACTCTGATTTTGTAGGTGACAAGGATTCAAGGAAGTCAACTACTTCCTATTTCTTCACTTTGGCTGGAAATTGTGTGAGTTGGAAGTCCCAACTCCAACCTATTGTGGCATTGTCTTCGACAGAAGTTGAATATGTGGCATCGGCAGAAGTATTCAAGGAAACATTGTGGCTGCAAGGACTTCTAACGAAGGTGAAATTGATAGATGGGGCAGTGACTGTATTTTGTGACAATCAGAGTGGAATACATCTAAGTAAAAATCCAGTCGACCTTGAAAGGACCAAGCACATGGATGTGAGGTTTCATTTTGTCAGGGATTTAGTGGCGCAAAAAGTGATAAATTTGAAGAAGATAGCAACAGAGGATAATCCAGTAGATATGGGGACAAAGGTGGTGACACCTGCCAAGTTCAAGCATTGCTTGAACATGTTGTTTGTAAATTAGAGCAGCAACTGAGCTATGAAGAGAACTTGGATGGGTTAGCTGCACTGATGAGGTTTTGAAGTTGGTGAGTTTTGAGCTTCAAGGTAGAGATTGTTAAATGAAGCTCAAAACAGTGGCATTTGAGGAATTAGAAGTTTTAATCTTGGCCTTTGCTTGTTAAAGAAATCCAACAGTTGTCATTTGTCCAAGAAAGTCAAAGCTATAAAAGACATAAAAAATTCAGATTTGCATATCCTTTCCAGCTCTCTCTTTACAATCAAAAATAGTTCTCTATAGGGGTTTCGATTGAGTCTAATTTTCTTGTAATCAGTTTTGAATTTCTGTAATCTTGAGTTGAAGGTCGAGCTTCATTCAAGGGTAGAGAATCTAGGTTGTGATTTCTCTTGTGATTAAAGGTTACAGTTAGAATTTGGGGATTGATTGAGTGTGTAAGGATTTGGAGTTGATTTGTTCTTGTAATCTGTAAATTTCTAATCTCTTAGTGCAGAGAGCCCCAAAAGTTCTTGGAGCTCAACGTGGATGTAGCTTATTCCCAATTTTGGAATAAGTGAAACACGGTAAAATCCTTGTGTTCTTGATTGTGTGTTCTTGCTTCTTTGGTGTGTGATTTAGATTCTTTGGAATGTGTTTGATGTTTGTTTTGGTAGATTGAGTTCTGATTTTTAGAATAACATCATCCTTAGAAAAGAAAATTGTAATCAAAATAATTTAGAGTTCAAACAGAGAAAAGCAATCCATAGCTTTAAATTGAATTTTAATAATCGAATTACTAATAGAGTTGCCTTACAACAAACATATCACATACTCAGGTTGCATAAGAGATAAAAATTTGCAAAGTTGCAAATATCTCATTAACACTTACCTTCATGAATATGTAACATAAAGTAAACTTCAGATTATCAAGATAATATATAACTTGAATTAAGATGCATCTACATACCAATAACTTCTAAAGGTCAATCACTTACATATCAGTATTAGACCTCGGCAAGCAACAGTAAATATTTCTCACTACTAGTGTTTGATGACACATTCTATGTATGCATAAAATCACTAAACATTCAAGTATGCTAATGACAACAACAATACTTGAGTGTACATACATGCACCAATCTGTTAAATACAAAACACAAATAGAACATTTTATTCGAGAACGCTCATTATACATTTTGAGGAATAATAATTTCTTCAAGTTTATAAACTAAACTGTATGGGAAGATATATATGGTAAAATGAACAATAAATGGACTACTAGAGCAATTATCACTCAGAGCCATTCCAACTGATATAACCTCTAAAGAATATATTCATGTGTTTATTTATTTATTTAATAGACATGCCCATAAATTTACTATAATCATATTCTAGGGCAAACTCAATATCTTGCCTCCATCTCTTAAAATTGCTGATTGTGGTATTATTATTGTTTATAGTAATGGAGACTATTTCAAATTTGTAGGTGGCCCTTGACTAACTAATAATTAATTTCCATAAGTTTATTACAACTTATGCTTTTGATAAGTTGGCAATTATCTCTTTCTCCCTTTTGTGGATTTTTTTTCCATATTATTATAAAATCTGTCATTACTATAAATATAAATTATAATTCATGTTAGGATTCGTATATAAATGTAGTTAAGTATATATATAGAACTAAATAAATAGACATATTCAACTTTTTATTTGAAATAGTATTCCATATGTATTTATATATTTTTTAATTTCTATTGTTCTTATCTTCTGCCTAAGTGATAATGTTTATTGTAATTAATTTATGATGAAAGATTTTCATACTTTTTGTTTGACTTGTGTGTGTTAAAAGACAGAAAAATTTGAAGTATAAGAAGTGTTCACTTACAAAGTTAAAAGTAGGGGTGATCATAAAATTTGAGTAGAATTGGAACCGCTGGTCGATTCATGTTCCCTAATAGGTGGAATCGGCACTGTGCGGGTCCGATTTTGGTTCCACCAGTGTTTGGAACTGGAATCGGACTCAAAACCAAGATCCAGGTATCCGGGTGAGAATCAGGGTTTGAATGATATTTCATAAAATTGTGGGGGTAGTATGTAAAATTTCTAGGTCGAGAGTTTTATCTGATTATGGAAAGAAAATAACACTTTAAATGAAACCCAATAGCATATCATCAAATACCTGAATCTAATAATTGAATTATACACATATTTGACAAGAATAGAACAATTAATAGAGGTAAACAATAAATTTACCATTAACATAATCAAATAATTGAGCTAATTAAATTTAAGTTGGAAAAAGTGAAAATTGAATTTGATTTTGAGTACAACATGATTATAGGATTAACCCATTACACATTGTATAAATAAGATCCAATTACTGAGTGGGATCTCATAAATTGATGATAACTATAATCTACTTTATCTAATAATATAGATTTAAACATATGTTGCTTATTGATGCTTGATTTTGATAACAACGACCTTGCACGTGTAATATATTAAGAAAGTCTTAGAAATTACATGTGATTAATTAGGGGATTTGGTCAAAGGTCACACTAACATGCAAAGACTTAATATAAAAGAGACAATGAGAATTTTTATAGTGGTTTGAATGCTTAAAGCGATTCCTACATCCACTGTTTTCTTTTTATATGAGTGTTCTTGGTGATTAACCAATTTACAAGATGTCACGAACAGTGAGCAAAATTACAAGAGCTTCGTATTCAGAGAGAATATTAAGCCAATCTTTTTCCCGTAGGTTGTCTTTGCTATTTGTTTTATTGATTTTAGAGAGTCTGGTCTCGATTTTGTGAGAGAGAGTCCTCCATTTATAGCTATTGAGTTCAAGATAATAATTACAAGTCTGTAAGTGAGTAGGTGTCGTGCAAGTCCTTCCTTGTGTTCTATTGACTGATAATTTAGGAAATATCCTTAAATTATATGGGGCTTGAACAGGTGTGCGAACTAAATTCATTCATAGAAAAAACTTGAAGTAGCTGGGTTGATGACAACTATATTTTTCCTATCTTGGGGCAACGTGACAGATTCTAGGCAATGCAAAGCGTTCTTGAACTATGATTGGTGCTCGCTAATGTAACCTTATTTTAACCCTGATTTTTTAAGCATGGCAGCTCAATACATAAAAATTCAAATTCTTGATAAAATTGAACTCAAATTTAGTAACAGCTATTTGAAACTAGTTATACAATAACATGAATGTTTCTTTGTATTTATTTTGTATGTATATTATAAAAGAGTAATACTACATCAAGAACCCTTTCTCACAAACTTTCTCTTATAACCGTAACGTGGTAACTCGCAATTAGTCAGTTTACAATTAATTAGTGAGACCTGTTATAAATTTATAAGTTACTACTTAGAATTGTGAAAGAAATATGTTCGTGTAAGTGTAAGATTATTCATTACAAAAATAGCCACAAAGTACTTCTACGAACAGTGCAAGTATAGAAAAAAAAAAAGAAATCATTTACGCCTTCAACTTTTCGAGTGCTTCCAACGAATTTCCTCCTAGATTTCAATTATTTATTGCTCTCCAGAACTAATTTGAACCCACGGAGACAGGAGGAGCTTCGTCGAAATTCATGATTTGACAATTATGTGCTGAGTCTTTCTCGTGTAATATATAATTCATAATGTCTAATGTTATATAAATATAACTGAAATTTCCAGTACAGTTTACAAATTGACTTAACAAGAAAGGGATTAGAGAAAAATAAAAAAGGAACTAAACAAATAATATAACAGTGACATTGAATATCCCATCTCCCCTTTAGAATTTTGCTGTTAAGAATTATTTTCACTTGCTTCAACAGGACTCCAAGTCTGTGAGGATGGGGCGGGACAACAGAAGTCAAAGTACTCCTGTTTTTCCTATCGCCGTTCTGAAAGGAAAGAAGAGGCTTGACCGATAAGGGTCAAAACCTTCGGTTACTCATTCCTATGTCTTACGTATGGCTTTTGGGTGTTAGAAAAACTGAAAAAGATAAAAACTGCTTTACATTACTCTGATTCCTTTACTCTTAACTAATCCTCTTTTAAAATGAAAACCTCTTTTCTTTCTGCTCCAGTCTGACTCCTTTGAAAAACGTACTGCTTTTACGTTTTCAATTCTTTGATATTTTTTCTTCTCATTTCGATTTGTTACTCAGCAACTCCTGTTCAAGCCTCAAGGTATGATCATGTTTCTGGGATTTCTTTGGTTTGAATTTTTGCTTCTAAAGTTCTAAGCTTTATCTGGGTTTATTTGAAATTGTGGAAAAATATTGAAATTTTGATTTTTGGTCAATACCCCATAAAGCAAATTCAAAATTTTCTCGGTATTTTCTCGGCTTGTGTTGTGTTAGTTCATGTGTAATGTTATGTGTTCTCAATTCTGGTTATTGCTAACCACCGCTTGTGGCTTGATGGAGTGAAAGATGGATTGATGAGTTAAAAGACCAAGGGGTCTGGGTTTAAGTTGTAGCAAGGGCAAGGGGTGGCCACTGTTTACCATACCCAAAAAAAAAAAAAAAAAAAACATATTCTGGTTACAGCTCTGAGGACCTATTTGTCTTTATATATTCATTTTTATATGTCCATGTTTATGTATGTATCCATGGCTCATAAATAACTGATATTGCAAGGACCACTCCTAATTTTGTTGAGATAATTTTTAATGGCAATTTCAGTATGCTTGGAGTGGTCAATTTCAATGTTGAAAAACAAAGTTAGAAAAACTGTTGGAGTTGTCGACTACTTTAGCATTAATAGGAATTCTTGTAAAACTAGGTTTAATCTCTTAAACCTAGTATATAAACATCCTTTTCTCTTGTTATGGGTGTGAGAACAATTCATTCATTGTAAACGAGAGAAGTGAGGCATATTGCAATAATATTGACTCAGCTGGACGTAGCCTACATTGGGTGAACCAGGGTAAATCGCGCGTATTACATTCTTTGTTTACTGTTTGTTTTGTTTAACTATTATTATTTTGTTCCTGTTGCTTCTCTATTTCGTTCAAAAACATGGTAATTTAGCCTGGGTTTTGGGTCAAATATCTTATCAATTACACTAATCATTGTTTTAGATAATTTTCTTGAGGTTGCCTTGCAACCGTAATCTGATTGACTAAGGGTATATGATTCTCTGGATGTCCCAAAATGATATACAGATCACTGAACACTGTCGAACTCTTGTTGCCGAGTCAAGACTATAAAAGAAAACCTTCACGAATTAGTACTATTCAGATGATGTTTATTCACGTTCTTAACTGACAACGGCACAAGGCCAAACATTTATTAATGTGTCCAGAGGCATGTGCTGCTTGACTTTCATGTTCCTTGATTTACACAATTGTGTGAGAAATATTGGTCTTTTTTTTCTTTAAACTTTATCATTGTGCATTTTATATGTCGATTCTGAAGTTTATACTATGATGTTTCCGTCAAAATGGATCTCGCTCAGGTTTTTGCTGCAGATCACATGCTTTGCTGTATTGCTCAAGGGGTTGATATTGTTGAAGATGGAACTGGTCCTTGCTGTTCTAATATTGGCTTGCTTGCATTCTACTGTACAATCTGATTATCAAGGTATGACACATTCCTTATTTGATCTTTTTGTATGTACGCAGCATATAGATAACTTCGGAATTAGATAACTTCTGAATATAGGGTAATCTGGAAGTGAACTGTCCAGTTTATAATGGTCATCTGGAGTCAAAGTTTGTTGCAAGCCAATTGTAGCCAAGCTAAGCAGAGCTAAATTTCTATCATTCACTTCTTTGGTTGTTAAGCTAAAAGTTATTCTATTAGTTTAGTGAACTCTATAGCAATGAGTAATTTAGAACAGTGGAAGAACTTTTGTTGTCTCAGATTGAATGGAAACAGAAAAAAAGAAACCAGTTTAGATGCAAAGAGAGATATGACTTTCAGGTAATAAAGTCAAATTGAAATGTTGATTAAGGTAAATCTTTGCTGATTCAGTAGGCAGTTATCAGTTCCTAATGAGATGAGATTTTGATCGATCATTTTCTTTTATGTTTGATTTTATTAGCCTCGTGAAAATTTTTGGTACTTATATATTGTTGTTGGGTTAGCTGTTCATTTGGTGGTGAATATTCCTATATTCTGTTTCAGGAGATGCACTATACGCTTTGAAGAATTCATTGCATGTTCCAAGCACTCTGCTGACTGATTGGAATCAAAACCAAGTTAATCCATGCACTTGGTCCAATGTCATCTCTGATAATAGTAACAATGTTGTCTCTGTGCGAGTTATTCTTAGATTAAGTTTGAACTTCCTTTTTTTTTTATTTATTTTTTTAAATTATAGTGCTTAGATAGCACACTATGCCAGTATAAATTACTTGTTCGTAGATTATGTACTCTTTTGCAGGAGATTGTCAACCATGAACTTTTCTGGAACCTTGTCCCCCAGAATAGGAGTTCTGAGGAATCTAAAAGAACTGTATGTATGGAGTGTATTGCTGTAATCAATGTAATTCGTTACAGTATTTTCTGTACCTTTTTAATCTATTTTCCTGAGGTGACAATTCTCATTTTCTAAATAATGAATTCTAGGGGTACGTATCAGCAGTGGTGAAAATCCCTTATCCATATTGTCTATGCAGTCCTTATGCAATTTTATAATGATCTTGGCATTCCTTTTTTCTTCTCCATTTTATCTATTCTTAGAATGACATGCAGGATTCCATTGGGTTCAGAACACATGCACAGCAGTCTGGTATTTTATTAGGATAAGGGAAACCTGGTATCTCTAATTGTGCCATTTGAGTCATAAAAACTAATCTTCTGTGTCTTTGGTTGCTGATTTTGCCATTATGATTTGCTTAGGTTTGAAAAAAAGTTCCAAGACTAATTGTTTTTGCATGAATTAAGGAAGACAGTTCACTTTTGAGCTTCCTGAATTTTTATAGGCTTACATTTTCTTTATTGGAGGCATTTATTTCAATTTGAACCAAGGGAAGAAAAAAAAGATCTTCTGACTTCTGGATTTTTATTTCGTTCATATATGTCATAGGGGTGATAGATATTGTAGTTTAAAGTCAGAAATCTGAGAGGAATTTGACTGAAGATTAACTTCCGTTTTTTGGGCAAAATGTTGTCTGTATCTAGATCACTCATGGTTTTGTGGATATAATTTGTTTTAGGAGCATTTTTTATGCTTTTCCAAATAATATTATCAAGGAAAATGATGATCTTTGCTCTCTTTATTAAATTTATCCTTATTTTTTGTATGCACTTTAAAACTCTTTCTCTCTCTCTTGTCACATGGATACAGACACGTGCTAATTACAACAACAAGACACAAGTTGCCAGCTTTTACGTAGTTCATAGTAGATTTATAATATTGTAATGGTCATTGACTTGTTCCAGTATATGGATATGTATACATGCAAGATGTTTCTAATATATATAAGATGCACTTTTCATGCAGTACGTTGAAAGGAAATAACATAAATGGTGAAATACCTGAAGAGTTTGGAAATCTTTCAAATTTAAACAGCCTGGACTTGGAAAATAATCATTTAACTGGTCAAATACCATCTTCACTTGGTAATCTAAAAGAGCTTCAGTTCTTGTAAGTTATTCCATCTGTACTTTTTTTTTCCTTGAGGTGTATTATATATCTTTATGTTTTTCATACATTTCTCATAAAACCTTGGTATGTTTTTGACATGTAATCAGAACTTTGAGTCAAAATAACCTCAATCGCTCTATTCCTGAGTCACTTGCAGATCTTCCAAACTTGATCAATATGTAAGTGATTCCCGAAATTAACTGATGCCTGCATGAAGTATAAATAAATTCTCTCTCCCCCACATTTCTGGACCTTGGAGTTACTTTATGTGGGCTTGTGTTTGTCAACATCTTTCTAAGTTTTTGATTGCATAGATGAACTTCTTTTTGCAGTCAGCTTGATTCCAATAATCTCAGCGGCCAAATTCCTGCACTTTTATTCCAAATTCCTAAGTACAAGTATGGACCACACTTATTTGTATTATTTTAATTCCTAATAACTTGGTCATAATATAAGATACTGTGTACTTTTCACTTAGTTGATATGCTTGTATTTAGTCTTTCTATCTCACTCTTTGTCATCAACACTAAACTTGATTGTGTTGGCTTATATTAGTTTCACGGGAAACCATTTGAATTGTGATAAAAATCTACCCCACCCTTGTGAATCTAGGAGTAACGATTCAGGTAATTTGGTTTGATGTTAGTTTGGTTCCTAATGTGAGAGATGTTTTCTTAAAATAGAGCTGTTAAATTTTTTTGACCAGCTAGTTGCTTAGGTAATTCCCTATTCTGACAGGGGCTTCAAAGAAGCCAACTATCAGAATTATAGTTGGGATTTTTGGAGTTGTTCTTCTTTTTGGAGTGTTTCTGTTTTTCTGGTGCAAGGCTAAACATAAAGGCTACAGGCGTGAAGTATTTGTAGATGCTGCAGGTTTGTGTTAATTTTCAGTTTACTAGAAACTAGTTTTTATATATATATGTATATAGTTTCTATAGCTTCTCTTTTCAGTATTTAGCTTAAATTTTTGGAGCATATATGCATGGTTTAAACAATATTCTCATTAGGATGGTGATAATTTGTTAGTGTAGAATTATTAATATTAGTGTGTGGTTATGAAATTTTGTGAGCCCTAAATGCAATTGTTTCAACATATGTATAGTGCTTTACTTTCTTGAAGATGTTTCTTACAAACTTGTGTAACTACTTGTACATCAGTATTTTCTCTTGCTACGTGGAATTCCCAACTTCAAGTGTTTTTTGTTGGAGCAAATGCCTTTTCCACTTCTTTGGCAAGGAACTTTGGCCATAAAATATTCAAGTGACATTTTTGTTTTTTGGTGTCTTAAGAAACCTTATGAGGATAAAATGCTTCCATCACGTTCTCATGTCATCTCATATGTACTCTGATGTGCCGAAGTCGATGTTGCTTCAAATTTAGTGTTGATAGGAAAATAATCTTTATTGTATGAGGAACTTTACATGCATCCTCATGCTGGAATTAAGTTAAATTGGGCTTCATTTGTAATGTAGTTGCTACATCCAAGTCTCATCTTACATTCTTTGATGTTGGAGTATGGATGTATTTGTTCTTGTCATTTTCAGTTTTAAGATAAATTGTTCTTGGAAGAGATGAAATTTATTGGAAATTTGACAGCATTTCACTTCTGAAATTTTGCATTTGATGCATCGAAGATTGAAGCTAGATAATTTGGTTTGCTCATAATTTCCAAGTTTTATACTAATCAGTTCCTATGACTGCAACAATCTGTGTTAATTTGTCTTCAAAAGGTCAGGAAGTTCGAGACAGAGAAGAGACTGGATGCTATTATAGATCCCAACCTTAATAGAAGTTACAACTTCCAAGAGGTGGAGATTATGATTCAAATTGCGTGGCTCTGTACACAACAATTACCTGAGGCCCGTCCAGCAATGTCAGAGGTTGTATGCATGCTGGAAGGAGAGGGGCTGGCTGAGAGATGGGAAGAGTGGCAGCACGTTGAAGTTACTTGCGGGCAAGAGTACGAGAGACTGCAAAGAGGATTTGACTAGGTGATAGATTCCATAAACAGCCAGGAAGCAATTGAATTATAGGTGGAAGATGAGGTAACAGATTCGATTTGGTGTGATAAGCATGACAAGCATTTAACCTTCTGTTACATTAGGCTAGCTTGATATTTCCTTCAGTTGACATAATTCTAATGCCAAAAGCAATGGTGTGGAAAGAAAAGGGGGGAAAAAAAGGAAACATGCCTTCATATTTTTGTATACGATATGTTCGTAATAGCTCTATAGCTCTTCCCTTTTGTGGCTGGTGTAATTTTAATTTTGGTTAAATTTTGCAGCCATCAGCCAACTAAATGAAAGGGAAGAGCTCTTATTCTGTATAAGTAAGTTTTTTTTAGTGATATTGGAGATCTGCTGGGTTGACACCATTCTGATATTTTTAGCTTGTGCTCTTCACAAGGACATAGGAAAGACAACTTCTGGTTTTCACTCATGTCTAAATTATGCAGAAAAGCTACAGTTTTTATGTGTCTATGGCTGTGATACTAATGGATGCAACTGCTTTAACCTGCCATTCTTCCATTTGCTCCACCATCCCCCTGACATCATCTTTGCATGGAATTTGCTTTGCCAAAAGATACTCTGGTGTCTTCTCCATGTCTCTATGCTCCATTTCTTCAAGGTTGATGCCACACTTGATACAATCAACACCTGCCATTGCCAAGCTTCTATTGACATGGCTTCTTCGGCTCGAAATCTAACCTTAATAACTTGCACAATGCTTTTTAGCAGTATTGTTATATCTTTCTGTGACTAGAGCCACTTGTACTTCACTTTCACTTTTCCATGCACTTCATTAAATCACAATCAAAGATAATTGATTAAAGATAGAAGTTGTTAGTGGGTAATTGGCCTATAAAAAACCAATCGCTATGCAATGAATGTGTACTTACTAGTAATTAATTATATCTATGTTTTAAAGCCTAGTTTGGCCTAGTCGGTTGAACTAGGACCCAAAGCCTTCACCGGGTCGGGTTACTAATTTTTCTGTTTACTAAAAACCTTAGAAATTAGGATATCAATCCGTGAACAATTGAAGGCTAGAATGTTAGGGCTTTTGAAGAGGAGTGATCGGTGAGTGCAATGACGTCGATTTCCGATGAGTGAATCAACCGAATATTGCAAAACAATATCATCGAAAAACGCCCGCTGTTGTCGGCAATTGAGGAGGCGAGTAGGGGAGGGGTGAGATGGGTTTTAGTCAAGAGACCGAGGGGAGTGTTTTCGTGGTGATGGGGAGTGTTGTCGTCGCCGAAAACATGCCATATTTATCGATGCTGACGGTGGTGTTTAATAGGGGTGTTCGGTTCCGGATACCCTGCATTTTTTGAAGGAACCGGAGCCGATAGTTCCTTGAAATTTGGAACCAGAACCAAAACCGGAATCAAAACCGACGGTTCCAGTTCTTAGGTATCCAAAACCAAAACCTGTAATAATTGTTCCAGTTCTGGCTCTAGGTACCCTACCCCCCTCAACTTGGCACTTGTTAACAAAAATAAAATTATAAATTATAAATTACAAATTACAAACTTCATTACTTTGTAAAGGTAGATTCTCAAAAGTCAAACCAACTTAGTTTAAATGTTATGAAATATAAATATAAATGTATTCACATTACTTTTTCTAAAAAAGATTTTATTAACTTCCTACTCTTTAATTTTATTTTATATTAATCTCGGTTCCCGGTTCTAGTTCTGGTTCCAAAAATTTGGAACTGAAACCTACCCATTGATGGCCGGTTCTGGGTAAGAACTAGAACTAAACCCTAGGTACTCGTCGGTTTCGGTTCCAGTCAGTTCTTTTGAATACCCATAGTGTTTAGGGTGAAACATGCCCTATTTGCCGATGCTAACGGTGGTGTTTATGGTGTTTTGTCAAGATTTCAAACCTATAAGGATTTTCATGTTATTTTTAGGGGTATTTTTGTTAGATTTCAAACCTTTGGACATTGATTTAACCCGCTGATCAAACTGGTTAAATCGGTCATTTGTTGGGTTCACCCCGGGTTGGGTTTTAAAACATTGAATTATATATGACACCACATATGGCCATGTGATTGCTTTCATCATAAGTTCTTAGTTTCTTTTATAACTTTTAGATTTGGAAAATGTATACACATGAATGCATGTGATATATGGGTAAGGAGTGTAGTAATTGAACTAGATTTTTGCAAATAGTCAAAATGTTTTAAGGAAACAACAAAAAGCCTTTAGAAAATAAAAAGTGTTACTAGAAAGATGCTTGTCTACTTAACATAAAACAGAAATGTTTTCCTTTTCTTTTAACAAAAGTGACGATTTCATGTGCAAAGTTTATTGAATTTCTCAATTGGAAATAGAAATGTTGTCCAGTGGGAATAGAAGTTAGGCTGTTATCATCAAATTATGATAAATAAGAAATCACTAGACAGAAATAATGTACTTTCTATTTGGATCAAATTATGAAGTGTTGGAAGAGGAAGATCATAGTCTTATAATATGATCCAACTGAACGAAATAGAGACAACAACAGAAACAAAATATAATAGTAAAACAAAACAAACAGTAAACAAAGAAAATAATACGCGCGATTTACCCTGGTTCACCCAATGTGGGCTACGTCCAGCTGAGTCAATATTATTGCAATATGTCTCACCTCTAGGCATGGCAATGGGGCAGGGTGGGGCGGGGATCTCATTCACCGTACCCATCCCCACCCTCAAAATCATTCCCCACCCCCGCCCCATCCCCGTTACTGGGATAACAGGAATTCCCCTTCCCCGCCCCAAAGGGGGATGTTGGAGGCCCGTCCCCGCCCAGTTAATTTTATATAAACATAAATTAATTTGAGCATTATCAAACACAACAGTTAATTCTCGTCCACATGGCAAACACTTAAATTAATCGTTTAAACATAATTAATTATACATAAATATGGGTTAGGATTTTTTCTTGTTTAATTGTTTAGGGTGAGGGAAATTAGGAAAATATGGGTTTATATAGGTAGGATAATTGTGTAATTAGGTGAAATATAGAGATATTAGTGAAAAGTAAATATATATATACATTTTTTTAACTTTATATATTATATACGGGGCAGGCCGGGGGAAAGGCATCACCCACCCCCGCCCCATCCCCGAGGACGGGGATTAAAACACCCCCCACCCCCGCCCCTACCCCCAAAAAAACCGAGGCTTCCCCGCCCCATATGGGGCGGGGCGAGACGGGTCCTCGAAATCTCGGGGAACATTGCCATGCCTACTCACCTCTCTCGTTTACAATGAATGAATTGCTCTCACACCCATAACAAGATAAAAGTATGTTTATATACTAGGTTTAAGAGATTAAACCTAGTTTTACAAGGATTCTTATTCCTAAGTCCAACCCAAAAAGGAATTAGTAACTTAAAAGAAATCCTACAGCGGTTATACATGGAAAAGCCCAAAACCGCCTACGGGCTCGGGGGACCCCCGAGTGCGTCTCCGTTACCCATTAATGCTGAAGTAGTCGATAACTCCAACACCAATCATACCATCATCATAATGAATAAGTTTAAAAAATTGCCATATATATATATAATGTATTTATACTTCTGCCAATACTGAAGGCTAGCAGATTATGCAAGAGCAGAAAATTAGATGAAACTGAGGTAAGTTTTTCCGTTAAAAGCATTCAATTTGAAAGAAGCTTTATAACACTAATATAATGCTATAACAATTCCTCCATAAACAACACACTGCAACTCAAAAAATAATGTTAGGCATTAGCAACACACATTTTTCCTTTGAAATTGAAGTTTTGTCTTCGTCTGATTCACTGAGGCTACAGCTTTAGCCCATTCAAGCATCTTTTCTTTCAACCATTGCTCATTAACCACTAACACCTCACTTCTCTTCTGCTCATTCTTAGTGCTTAACCTTTGCTCAGCTAGCAGATATGCAGGAATCTGTTCCAGGCCACCATGTTCCCATGCTTCTACATCAATGCCACACTCAGCATAGTCAATGCCTGCCATTGCAAGAGCTTCGACAGACATTTTTTCTAAGGCAGCACACTAACAAATTTCTACTCTAAAGAATGTATCAATGAAGAGAAATCTTTGGTGATTTTTATGACAGTATGATGGAGTGTATTTATATGAAGTAAATTCGTGTGAGAAACCACTGTTTAGAGGATTTCTTGTGTGCTATTAACATTTAGTTAGAGGAAGATACACGGGTATTCCATGGATAAAGTTTCACTTCATTGTACCCGTGATCTCTTAACAGGCCTTAACTGAAGTTGTTTACTTGTATTGGAAGATATAATTTGACAGATTAACCCCAAAACTTTTGCTAATATGTCTAAGCAATAACTTGGATACCAATTTGGAGATTATTGTCTAAAAGGGTATTGTCTAAATGAGCAACAATTGAAGTTTATCCACAGTGCTTAACATGTCAACCACAATACTGGAACTGACTTCTATATAAAAAATCCTTCTCAACATGTCAACCACAATACTGGAACTGACTTCTATCTGTGCTTCTTCTTTACGTCATCAAGAACTTGTCAGCAATGAACAATGCTGTTAAAATCTTGAATTTCCCGTGGTAGAAACTTCCTTTTAGAATCTGCGCATGGTAGTTTAGTTACAAAGAGCAACTACCTTCGATATTTATGGTTATCGACATTTGAGGGCTTCACATGTTGTTCCTTTACATGGATGCCACATCCAAATGCAATGAATTTGATCAGTTAAGATTTTTGAGGATATTTTTAAGAAGATTCAAGTTTAATAGTACAAATACAATGCAACATATCAGAATTATCAGCTAAAAGATACAGTTTATATACATCAGAAGAATTAGAGACTGTAAAAGAGCAAATGAAAAGACATAAAATCTGAACCTTCTAGATGTATCTCCCTCTTGCACTGGTAATTTTTATGCAAAATATAAGTTATAGAGTCTACAACTATTAAAAGAAACAACAAATAAACCAACGAGAAAGAAATGAAAATCCTCA